GGATCCCCCGCCGTCCCCGCCGTCGTTTCTCTCTCTCCAGGCCGTTGTGGATGTCACCGCCCCCACCAATCAACTTAGAAGCCGACGTCCAGTAGATCCCGACCAGCAGCCACTGTCGCCGTCGCAGTTTGGCCGGAAAACGGAGCCACTACCGTCGTCCGTGGAGGGAAGAGGTGGTTTCGACGATCTAACCGTTGGATCGTAGTGAATTTGGTGTCACAACACTCAGAAGGAAACGGGTAAGAAAACCCCTCATCCAATTTTAAGTATTGATGACCGGAATTGTGAGATTTGAGTCGTCGGATTTTAGCGACGTTGCCGGTCTCGATAGGTACTGTTACAGGCCGAATGGCGTGAAATTGACCGCACCAATGGACTCAGAAGGGTCAAGTTATGGGGGGGTAGGCCCCAAGCCCGCCGCGGAAAAACTCTCCGGGAGCCGCCGCCGCCATATTCCGGCGAGGTGTCGTTTCTCAGACTATCGACATCCGTTTGATGGTCCGAGACCATATCCCGACTAGTTTCGACGTGCTGAACGAAATGGTGACGTCCGTTCAACCAAATTCAATTCTGATAAGAATGGTCTAGTACTGATTGCACGCGGATCGAGGTGGTTCAGACTAAACATGTGAAGATCAGAATCGAGTGTTTAAAGCTACGATGTTCCTCAAGGATCATTCATAGTACTTGCAGCTTTTCCCAAAATTAGTTTTGAAGAATACGCAGGAGGACACGACAAGCGAGATACTATCAGAACCGCTTAGCTCGGAATCCAGGCAAGTACAAACCTTGCTTACAGTTTAATTAAGATAGTCATATAATGCGTATGATTTTCATGAAATACGTTAATTATGAGATTCGTGAATTAGGTTTATGTTTATGTTAAATGTCGTATATAGTTTTCCAATAAAACTTAACGGTTTTCAAATAAGCATGTAAGCGAAAATCGTAAAGAAACGATACGCTAGACCCTTAATTTTACAACGGTAAATATGGACCTTAACACTATTATGAGCCCGTCAAGTGAGGTAAAGTACAGTTTATTAAAAGTGTATTATGAATGATAATTTAATTAATTATTAAAACTAATTAATTAAATTATCTAAGACTTAGAATATTGTTAAGGAAGTTAATTAATTACTAAGATTAATTAACTAACTTATGTAGACTTAGTATATGAATAAAAGGGTTAATTAATTACCAAAATTAATTAACTAAATTATTAGACTTATTATAAGGATAAGATAATTAATGAATTATCAATTTAGCACAAATTTGTAATGGCAATTAAGGAAAATAAGATTTTGAGGATTTAATAAATTGATCCTTATAGTAAATTATCCTTCAATAAAGGAAAGGAATACATACCTTAAGTAAAGGGTTAGATTTCCTTCATAAGTTGCTAAAATAGAATAGCAAATGACAGATAATTTCACACTCTCAATGGGTGTTCATTTTCAGAAGTAAGCAAGTAAGAGAATAGGCTGTTTGGCGAAGAGTGGATTCCAGCTCTGTAAATCAGGTAAGTAGGAATCTCGCCTACAGTATGAATAGATTTTTAAAGAAAAAGTTACACATGTTATATATGCATGTTTATGCTTTAAGTATTGTATGCGATGCTATGTCATGCTGCATACACATAAACAGCGCACATGAATTATATGTGTTTGAGTTAATTTAATATTATGTATACTATGCTAGATCATACTGCATACACTTAAGCAGTGCACATGAAGTATATGTATTTGAGTACATTCTATGTTATAGTATGCTTTGCTATGTCATATTGCATACACCTTAATAAGCCAAGAGGAACTTATAAGAATAATTATCAGTTGAGTGCCGTCCCAGCCTCCACAAGGGAGGTAACTCATGCTCCACAAGGGAGAAACAGAAAATAACAATAATGTCCTCCGACTCAAGGGAGGCATTCCAGTTATAATCACGGTGTCGTGGGGGACCTTGCAAACCCTCACGTTCCGATGATTGCGCGCAAGTGGTACGCGAGCACTCGGGCCCATCAGTAAGAAATATAAGATAAGATAATAAGACTATGATAAGACATCATAATTAAGCATAATCAGCTCATGCATATTTATTCATGTGTACTTACAGTTATTTTGTGAGATATAGTTCCTACTTGCTGAGCGAAAGCTCAATCAGATATGTTCATGCTGTAGGTAAGAAACCTATCAGCAATTCTTGAAGGGCAATGGCAAGCGGCGGACGAATGGGGGAGATGGGAATGGATACCGCTCACGCAGTTATCTTCCGCAGTAAGTTTAAGAAAAATCATGTATATGTATATATGATTTAAAGGTTTCAAGCATGTATGTTTAAAAAGTATAGGTACATATGTATGTTAAGGAAACCGAGGTTGTAGCTAACAACCCTCGTTTTGAGTATTTAAGTTTTAGAACGTTGCAACAGAGCATGCAACAAATAAACAAATTTTAAACATGACGATTTAAACGATTGATTTTAAAAGGGCTTTAAGATGTACTTGAATTTAAGATTTCTCACGAAATCCGTTTCAAAGTCAAAATTAAATGGCCCGATTGAATTGGCTAGTTTTAGAAAGGCTTTTAAAGAGCATTTGAAATAAGAGTTCAAATGCTGCTCTGTTTGAAAGATATTTTTAGAACGTTTTATCTTAACTGAAATTAAGAAAAGCTTTAAGAAATTTAGTGATTCACTTATTTGAAATTATTGTTACAAATTATGAAAGTATTCTTTCTTATATTAAAAAAAAAAAATGTTCCGCAAATTTTAAGCAACCCCAGTAAGTACAAGTTAAAGTTTAAGTTACAGTGGCGGCCTCATAGGAGGGTCGTCACAAAAGTGGTCTTCCATTCGTCCCCCGGCCGGATTCAAATTTGGTGATAGCCGCTCCGTAAGTCGAGCTGGGAAAACACTTTCGAGCCGTCAAGCTTGTCAAGCATATCTTCAAGGTGTGGAATGGGGAATCGATATTTAACGGTTATCTTGCTTGTTGCTCGACTATCGACGCACATCCTCCAACTACCATCCTTTTTTGGCACTAAAAGGGCTGAAACGGACTCAGGCTAGGGTGAATGAGTTGTTTTTGTAAAAGGTCTTCTACCATCAGTTGCAGGGTGTCATGCTCAATGGGCCCCATACTGTAATGTGAGAGGTTCGGGAAACTCGCACCGGGAATGAAATTGATGCAGTGTTGGATCTCCCTCATTGGGGGTAGCTCTTCGGGTAGTTCATCTGGAGCGAGGTCGCTGAATTCTTCCATTAGGGCCTGCACTTCATGAGGAATGAGAGTAGGAGTCGTCTTTGTCCCTTTAGAAACTAAGGCTAAAATCATTTTCGCGGCTCAAATGTCATGTTCGAGTGGTTTACCTGGAGTTGCAAGGAACAACCGCCCCTTGTGATCACCTTGGGCAGCGACCTATTCTTAAGGGGGAAGCGGCATGAGAGCTATCTTCTTACCGAGCTAAGAGAACTCATAACAATTAGTCATGCCATTATGCTTAGCATTCACATCAAATTCCCAAGGTTGACCAAGGAGGATGTGTGATGCATCAATTTCAATGACATCACAAACGACAGTATCTTGGTAATGGTTGCCAATGGAGAATGGAACCATGCAAATAGTATCAATTGAAGCTTCGACCCCTTTATTGATCCACCCAATCTTATAGGGTCGGGGGTGTTTCTCAGTAGCGAGGTTAAAGGCCTTGACCAAAGCCTTCAAAATGAAGTTGTCACTGCTGCCACTGTCAATAATTAGGTCACACACCTTCATATTGATTGCGTAACGAGTCTGAAAAATGGAATGTTGGTTCGCGTTGTGTTGTTTTGGTGACAACAAAATCCTTTGTACTACACACGCGATTCGGTCTCTTCATCTCTGAATACGTGCTCTACCTCTTCGGCTTCTTCTTCAATTGTCTCAACTTCCTCTTCTTCGTTGACAATGCCCAGCTCGCTAATAAGGTTTATTAGCTTTCAAAGAGGACACTCGTTGGATCGGTGTCCCGAATTGTTGCAACGGTAGCACTTCCCAGTTATGGGCCAGGCATAAGGGTTGTTAGCCACTTGGACTGAAGGGAGCTGTGCCGGGGCGGGTATTTTCTGACTTTCAATGGGAGCTTTCCCGTGAGGTGCTGCCACTAGACATTGCGAGGATTCACATGTTCTCTCTCGTTCCAAAGTGTACTCCATAGGATGGCGATTTGACTGAGCTCGATTTCCACTGCAGGACTGTTGAGCTTCAACTTTGTAGGCCAGGGTGATTGCATCAGTGAGATTCCAAATAGGCGTCAGCATAAGTTGGTCTTGGATGCTCTCCTTCAACCCTCCAACATACCTAGTGATTTGTTGGTCCTCTGACTCCGGAAGGTTGTTGCGAGCCTTCAATCGACAATATTCTTCGGTGTATTCCCCACGCTTCGGCCTCACTGCGAACAACGTTGGTATTGCCAAAACAAGGTCTGCTCAAAGTCATTCGGCAAGGACCGCTGCCGCATCAACTATTTCATGAGAGCCCACGAGCGAACCGGTGGTCGCCCATCTCTTTCCCCCCTTTTTGTCAGCTTAGAGGTCACGGACTTAGTCTTCTTGTCTTCCGGAACAGTCATGTACTCAAAGAAATTATCAACCTTATGTTCCCAGTCGAGGTAATCCTCAATGTCTAAATGCCCATCAAAGCTAGGTAACTCCAACTTAAACTTGAAATCTAACGTTCGGTCACCATTAAAGCGAGTGTTTCGTTGTTCATACCTGGTGCCTCGGTTAAGCCAAGGGTCAAGAACTTCCTCAAAGTCCAGATCTGGAGGCATAGGTTGTGGCGGCGGAGATGTGGCGTCTCTTTTCTCAAACTCATCAATCTCAACGTCCAGCTCCACAGGCCGTCAGGGTAGACGCGGTCCTCTGTTCACAGGTGGCAGAGTTCGCGTGACTTCCCGCTCCTGACGTGGCGGCGGGATGTCCCTCCGTTGGTTGGGGGTGGCAGCTCCGATGTGGGTTATAACTTGGTGGAGGTTACGATTGAGAAGTTTGAAACTAACCTCAAACTTCTGCTCGAGTTTCGGCACGGTGGCCCAGAAGGTGGGAATGCTTCGATCTTCGTCATCAATCCGGGGAAGGCTGGCCTCGCCGGTGGTCATCAAGGAAAGCCTTAGCTCTCATACCAAACCTGGTATAGGCAGCAGCTGTTTTCTCTGGCTTAAACCAGATGGAGTTGGCTATGCAAGCCAAACCCTAAAAAGAAAATAGCAAACCACTAACAGGGCAACAAATGGCTGAGTAACTTAGGATAATTTTATTAACTTCTTAATTGTCTGACAATCTAGCTATATATAGCTGGTAGATTACAGCATAACAAAAACGACTTGCAAACTCAAAACGACAGGGAAAAGAAAAAACTTAAACAACAAGAGCCATGAAGGCTTAAACGACAACCAAATGCTTAAACGGCAGTAAGAGCCCCTGCATCATTTATACTCTGAATCGTTATTCTTTGCTTTTTTCGAAATTCTTATCCTTTTGAAAATGAACAAGACTCGTTAAAAATGCTAAAACAGACTTCTATGAAAAAAGTAACAGAGTTTCAACTCTTACAATATTTGAAATCATGGCACACTTTAATCTCACTACTTCTGTAAGAATTCCACTAGTTCCTTGAGCACCTTCTCAGATCTCCCACCAATATTAGTATACTTCCTAGCCTCGTCCCCTACTTTCTTAGCCATTTCCCTCAGCTTCTCATTTTCCATTACTTCCTTAATCTTTTTCTCAATCTCTTCCCCACACACCAACTCAGCTTGGAGACCCAAACCCCACTTACTTTCCCATATTCCCAACCCTGCATTCTTCACAATCTCTGCATTCACCCTTTGATCCCCAATTTGTGGCCAAGCCACCATGGGAATCCCCCGCCGAGCTGCTTCCATAACCGAGTTCCACCCGCAATGGTTTACAAAAGCACCAATGGAAGGATGTTCCAGAATCTCCTGTTGACTAACCCATCCCTTCACTACCATTCCCTTGTTCCTTGTTCTTTCCAAGAAAGAATCCCCTACCAAATCTTTCAGGTCATCTTTGTCCTCTTCATCGACTTCGCTACATTTAAGCACCAAAAGAAATCGATATCCACTTCTCTCCAACCCCTTTGACAGTTCTCTTATTTGGTGGTTTGACATGGTTGTTCTGCCCCCAAAATTCACATAAACCACAGACTCCTCAGGTTGGTTGTCTAGCCATGTCATGTAATGACTCTTCTCCTTCTTAATTTCATATGATTCCAATGGCCCTATTGGGAGGACTGGTGGAAGAGAATGCTCCAAAACTCTTCCATTGTTGATTGCTTCAAGAGTTTCTGGTTCAAAACAATCAAAGGAATTCACTATGATTCCTTTGGCTTTTGAGAGTGCTCTAGCATTTGGAACTAAAATTGATCTAGTGAAGATGTTATCTGGATTCTTGAATGGTGAAGGAATGCTTGATATTGGAAAAGGGGTCAACCCCGGGATAGTTAGCTCAGTTGAACTGTTTCCAAGTTTATCAGGATCGGCTATAAGTACAGGATGGTATGCCATTAGGCAAAGGAATTTAGTAGAGGTGCTGGAAACAAGGTAGCTTGGTACGCCAAGCTCCGCAGCTATTGGTGTTATGATCGAAGCCATAGACAAGTGTGTGAAGATAGCGGAGAGAGGTGGCGAGGATGAGGATAGTGCAGGAGAGAGAAGTTGAAAAGAACGGCTTATGGACTCAAATTGGAGAAAGAGAGGGTCATTTGACGTGGGATTTGAGTGGAGTTGAATAGGTTGGATGTCAACATGTTTGACTTGTGGATGTTGAGAAAGAAAGGAGGAGATGTAGGAGGATTCTACGGCGGAAACAGTCGATTCAGCGGTGATCAATGTGACGGTGCAATTGCGAGATAGAAGCATGGAAGTGATTCGGAGAAAGGGAAGCAAGTGGCCCATTCCGGCGCTTGGAATGAGAGCTATGTGAGGAGATAGAGATCTGGAGTCTCTGGTGTTTGACATGTCTCTCTTTTTTGTGTAAAGAGTTGAAGTTTCCAAACATAGGTTTTGGATCTTGAGATGTTGTGTGGGAGATGGATTTGTAGTTTTTCTGTTCATATATAGAATTAGAAGGGCATTAGGTTGGTTTGGAATAGAAAGGCAGGTGAAAACGTGAGCCATAATACTGGATCACCAGATCAGATTGAGGGTCTAAATTGTAATTTGGGATGATATCATGATAAGGTTGTTGGGTAAGGAGGAGTTTGATTATTAGTATTATTATTATTTAGTTTTTCGGATCAAGGTTTTTGAATATTTTATTCAAACACACGATACACGTATAGATAGATATATATTGATGCTCATGGGTTGCTTGCATCTTCGGCTGTTATAAAAATTAATATTATATGTTCATCCAAAATTATTCTCTCATCCAGCTCTTTTCCAGGCACGGCCCCCCATCTCCATGGGGAGTAGTGTCATCTTCAAGAATATTTTCTCTTAAAGAGGATTATCCAGATACCTAAAACAATGATAATCATAGAAATCCATCACTTTTGGACCCCAAACATTAACAATTTATAATTTTCCTGTTTTGCGGTGAAGAGCCCATCAGTTTTGTTCAAGAACTCGCAATTCACAGATGGAAAAACAAATAATAAAAATAATTAACTTATTGCTAAGATGATATTTTGTCACTTTTACGCCCTTCATTTTTTTTTTTTTTTAAGGGTTTTGGTTTTTCTTATTTATTTGTTTGTCCATACGCGAGGATAATGGATAGCATATGCTGATTTGTCGTACGTCTACCTGGTTAAAATCATAACAATATTGGCAAGGAATTGCTTTAGTGTTAGTACTTGTAACTGTCAACAATATCATTTACATATATACAACTTTCAACTATAAAAAAAAAAAAATCATTTCCGTACATACATATACATATACATATACATATATATATATGGTTCCGGGTACTCATTCTGACTGAAACAAGGGTGGGTCTTTACCAACTTAAAAACATTCGATTTTAGGGAAGCCAAAAAACGTGAGCGCCTCTACGCGAGCCTTATTGAAATTGAAAAGGCCCCTTACTCAATATCAAAAGAGGACCATGGTTTTGAAAAGGAGTAAAAATATGAATGACGACGATTCCATTCGATAATATAACGTCTTATACATCAAATTGCAGAAACTTTACAGGGTGTTTCAGAAAGAACAAATGTTATTTCTAAGAATAAACATGTGAAATTGGCGTCGGAATACTTACAATCCTCATTTAAAATATTAATTACTATTGAAATAAATAATGTATCCTTCCCAAAATATAAAACCTAACTCATCACTCCAAACTAAATACCTAATCAATCAGCATTTGACCATCTGTGGTTTGTATAGTTTCCTTGGAGCTCTGCGTGCTTAAGCCTTCACCAAGTCGCTTCATTTCTTGAGACCTAATAAACTCCTCGATTCTCGCCTTTAATTCAGTGTTGGGTATCAACATGTCCCCGGTAAGATGGGAACGGTTGAATGGATCAGTCTGCAAATTGGCAAAAAGAGATTAACATAATGAGATGTATTTAAAAATAATAATAAGAAAATTAGTGGCAGATGAAGACATACACTATCACTAAGAAGATGCCTTTGAATGACTGGCCGATCTATTGTGATTCTGGAAGAAGGTAAGATCACCGGATCCTTCATTAATGTGTACTGCAAGAAAACAAACACTGTCAGCATTCTTTTTGTCACAAAATACCGCTATATAATCTCCTGTCAATAAAGTTTGTGGAAAGCATGTATGGATCCTAAGCGTAGGTAATATTTTATTAGGGGAAAAAAAAGAAGAAAGAAAACGTACTTGAATTGGATCAAGGAACTCATCGGGTATCTCTCCGAGAACAGCCTCCGTGCCCATAGCCTCAGAAGCGGCAACTTTAGCTTTGGCACCTAGCTCAGCAAATTCCTGTATAATCCTCCCATCTTCACCAATTCTCCTGAGAACATCTGCTGCTGCAGTGAACAACTGAAGCAAGCTCTACTCATTAGATTGTCTACAGTAAACTAATTTGGAAGAAAGCGGGGGCAAGCAAAATTTTAATCACACAACATTGTCAATGGAAGAGAACTCCTATGGAGTTTGCACCTCAAACGCATTACCTGGTCATTATATGATCGACCGTCCTTTGAAATGGCAGCTGGGAAGATATTTTCCGTATCACCTCTTGCCAAATGAACATATATCTGTACAATCTGTAAATAAACAACGAATTAGTTAGTCAAGGTCTTTAGATATAGGCTGTAAATAATTAAAAAGAGGACAGCATATAGCAACAGTAAACGCATTGTCACAAAACGGTTGATTGTATCTTCATTGGGTATGCTCATAACAGTACGGCATAGATGGAACTCATAAATATAGGTTTGCTTCTACCAGAACAGACAATTGGGCAAACCAATAGCATACCTGCCTAAGCAATTGCTTTGGACGGAATTCATATTTTTCTGGGTCTTTCAAACTAAGGGATTTTCTTTGGGGACCCACCAGTTGCAACAGAAAGTAATTGAGCATACTTGCTACTCTTTCAACCTGGAAAAGAAAATGTAAAATATCATAAGTTCTGAAAAAAGGAATAAACATGTCCAAAACAGATTTGACAAGACCACTTGTCACTACATCAGAGCAATAACACAAAAGTTGGATAAAAGGCAAAAACTGTTACCATCTCAGCAAGTAGGAAAGGAGCTGTGATTTGTTCAGAAGTAAACGCCAGCATAGTGACATCTTTATTCGCCAATTTCATGTCAATACGTATAATCTGCAAAAGCCCAATTTGATAAGCTTCCCATAAATTGAGGAAAAGAAACAATGGTTTATTGGAAGGGGACCGGGAAACAGAGGCTCGGAAAGCATACTGACATTTTCCTGAGAATGGAATAGTCGGGTTCGCTCCTGCCTCTCTTGAGCAGGTCGCCGCTCCCATTCAGCAGTGTTCGCCATCTCAGCTTCCAGCTCTTTCAGTTCAAGAATCTTATTAAGACTTTCATCAAGAAGATAGATGCTGTCGTTGATCAGGAAGTTTAAGAAGTTCAGATAGACACCCTTTTCCTCTTCCTTTGCAATCTGGAAAAGATATATTTGCGCAGAAAGACACGTGAAAAGGAGGCAGAGAATTAGCAATATATTGAAGTCAAAAATCATGAAGTGGAATAAGGTAGGTTAGGTTCTGTACCCTTCTCCAAGCATTACGATGACTAGGGACTTGCCACAGGTACTCAAGAAGTTCAGCAATGTTGTAGCGGATGTTGAACTTATCATAAAACTGCGCACATAAAAAACAGAGGCCAACATAAAAAGCAAAGAATTGAGAGTTCATCCTGCGCATTAACAAAGGGAAGATGGACTAAACAATCAACGCTTAAGAGTGCTAACAACAAATGAAACTACAGAAACTAGGAAGTGATAAAGATGACATATGGTTGACTTTGATCTTGTCTACATCTGAAGCACGTGAAACCAGAGCCAGCGCATAAATCTAAAAAAACACTTCTTGATATGTATAGTACATAATAATAGTGCCACTCACCTGAGTGTGAGAACCAGTGAACTCAATGTCAACATAAAGCTTCAAAAGATTCCTCACAAGATACTCAAGAGACAGTTGGTGACCTTCAAAGAGACTAGCAGTAGCAGATGATCCACCGAGTTCACTATGTAAAAAGAAATGAAAATAAATTTGAGCTTAAAATTACATAAAAGCAGAGATCTACTTCTACAGGGCACAAAACGAAGTACCTTTTACGGGGCATCCAGCAGTTCAGGACTCCAACCATCTTTGCTCTTAAATAAGGATTTCTTATATAGTTTGGGCTAGCCATGAACATGATGATAAAGTTCATAAAATCATCCTGCAAGTGCCAAGAAAGAGCAGAGACAAATATAAATTACACATGGTGGGAAGTCAGAAGGATATAAATTCAGGACAGGGCCTTTTGAACAAAAAATCTACCAGCAAGACACCATCTAAGACTTTGGGAATCCGGGAAGCAAATATAAGCAATTCCATAGCATCTTCCACAAAGTGCTCTGGCATACACGCAAATTCCTCAGGGCATGTTGCAGGAAGAGGCATTTTAAATCCACCAACCATGCCAACCAACCATACAACCATCAATCGATAGAAAGACACAGCACACTGTATAAGTGTTCCATCCTAAAATAGTAATCAAGATGAGAAACAATTATCAGATATCAAATGAAGGCTAACAATACAAAGAATTATATATATATATATATATAACCTTAAAACTGAAAACTTGAGGAAAATAAAAAATGAAAAGTGAAAACTTGCGGGAAAAAAGTCTTAAGTAAAACAGCTTGAAAATTTTTGACAGCACACCTAATTGGGATCTAGATAATTAAAGAAATTACTCTGGCATACCCTTAATATCTGAGCTTCGTAACACAGCTTTTCTTGTGATAACAACTCTATTTCTTTCTCAAGACCAGTTATTTCCAGCTGCATTGGTGGAGAAGGTGTCTGCTGTTGCATGGCTTTGAGAGTGGTGAGGGTCTCTTCATACCTTGAGATTTCCTGGAAAATATTTTTTTAACCAATTAACCAGTTGTTGTCCAAGAATTATTACAAAGTTAAAGTTGATGGGAAGACAATAAACCGGATGCTCAAAAAAATTAACTAAAAGACCTCATGATTACAATTGTTATGCAGTATTCTGTCTGCTCACACATAAAGCCTGATTACCTGAACTAAATTTTTAAAGTCAGAGAATGCTTTTAACATGCCCAGATTGAGCACCCTTGCAGTCATGAAGAAACATTCACATATAAATGTGTATTTAGTTTTTTCACCACTTGATGTATTTGTTATAGACGGTCCAAAAGCATTACTGCCTGAACTGGTGGCTTCTTGGGACTGCAGCAATCGATTCTCACCATCTCTTTGCCCCTGACTAGTTTTATTTGTCCATTCAGCAACTTCTTCTGATGATGCATGCAGAGCAGTCAACCCTCTAGCATCACAGTACATGTTAATAGCCAACAATCACGAATGCAGAAACATCTCATGATGCATGCTGAATAAAAGTGCTCACCTTAAATCCAAACGGTCACCATTAAAAACATATTTTGGGTCAATTTTATCCTTTTTTGTCAAATTTGCATCTAAGAAAGGCTCACAAAGCCTAAGCATCACGGCACTCAAATTCACAAACATGCCTGAACTTGCACAAGACATAGGATCCACCTGTGAAAAAAAAATTACAGTAGAATGTTAAATTGCAGGTAACCATTTGATATGTCACTCAAAACATACACATACAAAGACACGCATTTAATATATGCATACACATACCGGACAGTTGCAATTCTAAAAGAAGTTACGTGAAGGGAAAATTACCTGTATATGAGCCCTTGACGAATTTTTATTAATAACCTCTGCAAAAAACTCAAGAACATTCTGTCGGGTGTCTTGATTTTTAAGGAGTACCAAAAGAACCTCCGATAGGCCATCATATAAATTATTCATGACCGTCTTGATAGTGGTAAATGAAGAAAGCAAATCATTTTGCCGCCGAGTAGAAGCTTCTGAAAAACATTGCTGGCTGATGTTTCCAGAAATGAAGAAACATCCCAACAAGAAAAATTCTTAAACACGTTATTTACATGCAGTGATCAAAACAAAAGCCACCGTCCTTGACAGAAATCTCATTAGGGTCAGAGTCTTGCATGCATAAAATGTTTTCAGATGCAACAAGTATTGGCCATAGGCGACAGCATAGAGTTTTAATCATAAACTAATCAATATATATGCATTAACCATATCCTTCCATAGTTCACAACTGATTTTTTTTTTTTTATACAACATGGGATTGAACCCGCAACCCCCCACCTAAACCCCACCCCACCCAAACCCCTCAGTGCCACTAGACCAAGAGGTCTTAGGCATAGTTCACAACTGACTTATATGCTCACTACTGCTCTATCTAAAAACACACAGGTACGAATAAGCCAACTGTGGCCACTGGGTTCATCTAAGTGTACTGTGTAGCTATACATTTCAACCCGAACAACACACTAAACTTGAGCATTATTTTTCTTAAAAGAACAAAAAGCATAGCATACACGTAACGAAAACGTGCAAGTAACCAATCTGCACCATTGGCAGTAAGTGTAGCTATAGATTTCAACAGTTTCAAACCCAACAATATTCTACACCTGAGGGTAATGAACATTATAAAGAACAAATACAAATGAAAAAAGAAAAAAAAAACCGAAAATCCAACTCACCCCACATCTGGTTGGCTCTTGTAAATAGTATTATGATCAGGCAAAGCACTGACGTGAAAGAAAGGACCCAAAACGCTGGTCACTTCAATGGCACGCCCAGTCAAGTAAACGCCTTTGGGAATCCACCAAGGGTGGCTCACCAGAGACTTAGCCCCAGCCGGAAAGCTCACCAAATACATAAGAGCCCTCAGCGGCTGCTGAAAGTTCCCTAAAGCCGAAACCTTAAGCACTCCAAGCCTAAGATCCTCGTAAAGCCCCTTCAATATCGAGTCCAAGCTATCGAAGTCCCCGTCTCTGAAGAACTCCTCCAGAAAACCAGGAGGACTCTGAATCCCGCCGCTGCTCGTCCCTCCGAAGCCGTCCAGAGTGCCCCCGACCTCCGAGAAAATCAATGGCAGAAGCGGCGAACCGTTCGGCTTACCCGAATCGCTCGAGTTCCCGCTCGAAAAAAGGTCCGGATTTCCTAAATGAATCCTGCAGTAGTTGACCGAGAGCTTCTTAGCCTGTTTGACTGCCGATTCCATCTCCGAGCGGAGATTCTTGTCCTTCATGGGAGCGATTTTCTTGCCCTCGTCGTAAGCGCGGCGGTAGCAGCCGATTAGGTATTCGAAAGGGGGGTCGGCGGAGGGGAAGCTTCCGGAGAGGCGATCGATCAGGACTCGCTCCATCAAATCCCTGGAGAGCCGCAATTCCTTGCCCTCGCTCAGAATCTCCGCCGCCGCCATCTCCAAGTAGACGATTCTGGAATCGGAATTCGCCGCCGTGTCGGAGAGCGACACGAGGAAAATCTTCCGGAGGATTATGTCCTCCACCTCCTCCGGTGTTCTCTGGGGTTTGGAAGTCGCCATTTTTTTCCCCTTTTTCTATCTGAATTGGTGCCCTCTTTGAACGAGGTGAATAAATCGGTGCCTGAAGTTTTGTTCGATGGAATTTTTCCGGGAAACAAACAGATTGATAATATTTGGACTTCCAATCATGCAAGTATGGAATAGTTTAGGTCCTTAGGATTAATGAGAAGATCTTTACTTGTAAAGTGCGTCCTTTTATAGATGGACAGAAAAAAGAACAAGACTACAAGAGTTGGAGGGGATGAAACCTTAATCCTATTCCTAGTGATACGATATACTTTTTTTTTATAACATTTTATTTAAATAAATAAATATGATTATTTTCGTAAATGAGATGATAATTATTTTTTCAAATATTCACTGATTTTTTAAAAGAGTGATTCTATTCACACCTCAATTTTTATTCTCTATATTCTTTTTTTAATTACATATCCCATAAAATTTTTAAATGATTAATTTTTTTTTACACACTTCTATGATTAAAGCTAATAATTTAACTCAAAATAAGAAAATTATAACTAACTTTCAGCACATATTGGTCTCACAAAAATTTTAAAATGGTCACAAAACTTATAAACCAACGCAAAATAATATATATGTAAAACAACTTCAAATACATAAGTTATAAACCAACAAACAACAATAATAAAAACTCATACAACCTAAAAATAATAGATTTCCAAGAAATTAATATAAAATATAATAAAATTTTAATATTTTATGAGAGGAAAATATTTATTTATATAGATAACTAGATTAGATGAAGAGAGTTAAGTCCGGTCAGGAAAAATATAATTATAATCTCTCCTAATTAATAATCGAGATTGGGTAGATTGGTTTGATTACTTAGTCAAATTAGTCTGATTTGAGTTATAATGTATTACATTGAGTGGGTTAATTTGGTTTATCGGGTTGTCTTTATTCACTTATAGTAAACGCTTAGTTTAGTATTGCTATAGATTTTAAAAAAATTACTTTTAATTGTGTTGAAAGAAAAAACAGCTGTTACAAAAAGTAGTTAATGTTGGGAATAGTGTCCTAGAAGCATGAGATGTAATATGATATTTATTATTTAATTAATAAAAGAGTTTATTCATCATTTTATGTGCATATATTTATGAATATTTTATGAATATCAAATGAAAATTCCGTGATTGTTTATGTAACCTTAAACATAGTATATAAGTATTATATACGAGAGAATAGTGTTTAAGGATAATAATCAAAAATATTGTTCATGGTGAATTTAATTAAAGTTTGAAATCTTTAATTAAAACATTATTAATACATGTCATTCTCATTTAGAATGGAACGATGTTATCCACACTGTTAATATAGCGAGATATTGAATGAGTGTATTTCGCATAATAAGATTATGTAGAACAAGGACACAGACACAATATGAATTTCTAATAATTTTCGTTAAGCATAGAAATTCTAATTGAGTCTACCGATGATCATATATAGGATGATCTTAATCCTGAGTTCTTAACAAACTCCTATTTATGGATTTATGTCTTTTGATTTACTCGGTACGGATTCCGAGACCCTGAATCCTATTCCTTGTATTTTGGAGATATAATGAAATAGGTAGCTAGGAATGTTATTATACGAGATGGAATCCATTCCTTCTTGATAAAGAAGTAGATAAATAATTCTCTTGAGTGTTGATTCGGTACTTGGATTAGTAAGAGCGCTCTGGTTCATGAATGTGTTTTATGAATCACTATCCATTAGAGAATCAATGGTACTCAAGGATGCAGATGTAA